GGTATCCAAAGCTGAAGTCCTTCGCCATGCCCAGTTTTCATCATCGTGCAGCCACACAGATGTTATTCCAGCGCCAGCTGCTCCTTTTACACAAGTCTTGAGTGCTCATCGCCTCGGTAATGCAACCTGCAACCGACAGATGTATCAGAAGTGTTGGGACGTGAGTGGATCAGTGAAGTGAGGCACAAGGCATTGAAAGTTTTGGACGGTCGCCGTGGAGTAGCAAGACTTGACCACAACCGAAGGCCGTAGAACATCTTTGGGAGCACTCACTCAACAACCGGCGACCATGTACCGAAGCTTTCGTTCTTCGGAGCTGCTTGGTGAATTCACCGCGCAAGCAAATGCAGACCACCGTCATGTGACGCCAGTTTGTCAAATCAGGTGAGTGGAGGTGGATGTCCTACTTGTCCTTATGAGCCCGGCGATTTGTGCGCCAGATCTATCTGCTGCAACTGCTTAGTTTAAAGCCGGAGGCAAACCAGCGGCAAGCGACAGGTATGGCGGTGCAGCGTCGTTGAGCGAGAACTGCGATGACAACGGTCAGTGCTTCCAGGACGCGGTAAAACCTAGAGAGAAATCAAAGGTTTAGGTGCCGTGCTGTAGTTAATCTCATCCGCAAGGAGTTCATGTGCCGATACAAGGCAAGGCATTGGTGCTAGCCATGAAGCGCATCATGGACAGCAAACAGACTTGCAGAGGCTGAAGGCTTCATCGATGCTCGCCTGGTGAAGCATTTCGACGAGTACCTCGAAGGTGAGTGCACGCCGACACTGCTTCAGCTTCAAATCGAGTCTTCTTGCATCATCAGGAGCTGGAGAGGTGTTCGACTCTGCCAGACGGGGCTTTTACACTTTGGAGGTACGTGTTTTTCGTGTTGTTTGTGCTGCATCGTCGCCAGCCACTTTGCGAGTTGATACTGATAGCGTAAGTTCGCTGAGCAGGGTGGTGCCACGAATGCAAGCAACGCTTACCGACTGGTGGTTGTGAAGCTAGGAAGCAGGACTGCCGGCATGCACAGTGGCAAGTGGCACTTCGAATCTCATGCATTAAAGTGTGGCAAGGAGCCCTTTCCCCTATGGCAA